TCAAAACTATGCAACGATAAAAACGCGACGCGCGATTACATAAAGGAAAAATGTCGCGGGACCTTTTACGAGATCAGAATACAACTTGGTAAGTTTTCTAAGAGTATCTGGTATTCTTACATGTATAATTGCAGTCCCTCCGTACCATAAAGCAAGAGTTTAATGAACGAGGCTGCGCATTCACGTTATTTAAACAATGGAAGTCCACGATTAAAGGGCTTGTTCAGGCCCGGCTGAATCAAATATGCTCCGTGGAGCGTCGTGAAATTGTGATCCATACCGCAAATAGAGATGACGAATAAAAGCAGGAATGATAGTGATACGGGACTGTTCCATTTCCTATGTACAGTCATTTTAAATAGTGACGATATGCAAGCAGATAATATCAAATAATATAATAATAGAACTGTGAGAGTTTCTCTCTCTGTTACTCGACAAAATATTCTATTTAACTCTTTCAAAATGGAACCTGCCCTCCCCTCCCCCCCGATGAGTACTTTTGATAGATACTTCGGATGAAAATTGAGTCGTGCAAGTCGAATAACGATTTGCAATCTTGATAATCGAGCACCGCGCGAATGTCTCTATCGCCGACATTTCGCAACTCGCGTTCAACGCTGACACAATGCAACGTCTGGGTTACCCTTGTGGGCGGTAGCAGGATGTCGCTTACTGCAGAGGCTGCTTCGCAGCCAGCGTGATAGCGTCGCGTAATGCCACGGATGAGACTATCTGCAGAGCGTAATGCAGCAGAGTGCGGATTCGGTTAGGCGCGGAGGATGGGTGGCCGAATGAGTGGGGCGCGAATATAGGATGATTATGTCACGGCGTGATCTATGGGAACTGGCAGCGTGCCATGCGGTCATCCGACCGCAGCATATAGCGCTCCCTCCTTGCGTCCCCCACCTTAATTCGACGTACCTTGATCTCTTATTCAGTGACTTTCTTGTCGTTATATAGAGCGAATAGCCGATACATCATAAAAAGAATGAGAACTGTATCGAACGTAACTAATCGAGTTATCAATCGCTCGCGATGCAATCCATCAGGCTCAAGTTAATCATTTTCGTTATATACCGCCAGCGTAAAAGTTACAAACACGCGCGGACGGAGTAAAAACGTTACGTTGATCCTTCGCTCTGCACTGCGTATCTCGCGAAAGAAATATGAGACGATTGTATGATGTCGTTAAATATCTCCACGTCGAGATAAATATGATAATATCCCCATTACTTCGTTCGTCTCGCCGTACCTCTCGTCACGAAGAAAGTGCTTGTCGTTCGAAGCGAAAAGTTCGTTAACGTAGTTTATCGTGCAGTTTGTGGCCCGCAAGTCTGGCAACTCTCCCTCCACGGGTGGTGCTGTAAACTTTAAGGTGCCACGACGACTTTAGGGGTACTCGCATGTGAGTTAGTTTAATGTCCGGCGCGACTAACCGAATCGCTCTCGTCGCGATAAGAGTCCGTGAGCCGCGGAAGAGGAGCCACCGTCATGATTGTCCGAATCATCATGGCTTGTCGTACCGACGACCAGTTTAATCGAAGCAATGTTCCGTTAGCGGATAAAATATTGCGTGCTCCTTAAATTCTGCCGGAACCGTCGCGTCGTTCCACCCGTTGGCGTGCCCTTCCTCATGTGTTCGCGATGCGCATCGGGCACGGAGAAAAAAAAATCAGAAGGATGAGGCAAACAAGGAGGAGAAAGAGCGTGGAAGGAGGAGGCCGTGGTCTCACATGTATATACGGTATGTACAGCGCGCATCTCGTTGCACGCGGAGGACAGTTGTAACGCTTAGTGAAGCCCGATGTATTTATTACGCAATGCTCATGTGCCCTTTCGCAAACACGTGTGCACTAACGTAGGCGTGACACACGCATCCGCGTCGCGATCTCCGGCGCACGAAGTGCCGCTTCGCCATCGTGACGACTTTAAAACCCGTCTATTGACCCTGGCCCTCGTTAACGGACATGTAATTTAGCGATTTCCGTCCGTGCCGGGTATACCCGACGGGTATCAAAACAACGACGCGTGCATTCTCTCTGAATCGTGAACGCCGGAGATCAGAGGCTGACAAAAAAAAAGAATTTGTTTGATGCTTGTAGTAGATAATAGACAACGGATCTTTAGCTGTTCGTGCGTAATTGGCTTTATGTCGGCGGGCGTCCGTCGGCGAGAGAATTATTAGCCGAAAGGTTCCTTCCGTTCATCCCCTCTCCAAGGGCCGTAAAAATTCCTCCGAAGAAAACCAGCCGTTCTTCTTCGAGCGAACCCAAAGCGCCGCGGCGGCCCTTTACCGTAGAATTCCTGCGAGTGACGCAGATCGTAGGAATTCTTATCCCACGGTCGGGGCTGGCGAGCTCTCTCCACAGGAGAGGAATCGGTTGTAGGCAACCAGGGCGATGGTTTCACAGGACTTCGTGGTTTCGAAGGGTGGCAAACGTGCCCCGCGGCGGCTAGTACCTTTCAGGTTCAAAAACGCCCGTTCGGGATGACTCAGCTGGTCGTGCAACAAACCGCAGCAACCTTCTCGCATAGAGATAAACCTGCTACGTGCAGAGCGCAGGGTATTCGATTACCGGAATCGACTGGTGCTTTTTAGGAGATGGAAACGAGACCGGGATTGAGAGCAAATGCGTTTAGTGCTGCGTGTATCATTACAGTTTCTGCTAAGATTAAATTGAATGCCACTCCGTTTTATCAGCGCTATCGTCTTTTCGGAAATTGTATCGGTCAGTAACTTGTCCCATCGCTCTTGAATTTTCATGCACATTATAAATACGCCACCTTTCAACTAACATCCTGCCGGAGATCGATGACCCCTCGTCTTGCCTGAGATTGAGTACTGTCCAAATTGTTATTTTCTTACAGTGTCCTCGCTGAAGAAAAGGATTATCAGATTTAGTCTTCCCTGGAGGTTTAACCGGAGATTTTTCAGAGTTTCTTTTCCGTCCGTCGGAGATTCGTTTCAAAAGCTGGACTCTCCGACCGAAGACCAAAGAGATGGAAAGCTATATTGCTTTTTAAAAAGGGTCATCAAAATTCAGAGCCGCGGAGATTCGTTTTCACAAAGCTGAAGTCTCCGGCCGAAAACCGCTGAGGTGGTAATCGTGATTACAAATTCGATCACGTGTATTCGTCGCTCTCGCTCGCCCACGTTGTCATCGCCCGATGTACCATTGCGAAATCGGATTAACGTACAGATTAATTTAACCGATTCGACGCTCGCATCGTTATCCATTCGAGAAAAGTCGGTGTCGGAGACGATAAGCTTTACGTCCAGGTACATAAATACTGTTCCCCGAGATCGTCGTAACTGGCTGTCACCTGTCAATGCCTTTTGCAATCGGTCAGGTATAGCGGTGGCTACATGAGCTTCGCGTGAGATAAGGAGCCGATGAAATTCCTGCAGTGAACGTCCCGGGACTGCACGACACACGCACTCGTGCGTGCGTGCGTGCGTGCATGCGTACGCACGCATCGGCGGAACGCCCGTAGCGAGGAGCCCGGCATGGTGCGATTTTCGAAGTGGCTCGGCGATGCGCTCGCCCTGTGAGGGCGTAAATTAATTCTTCGCGAAAATTGGCTCTCGCAACCGGCTGGCGCAATGACGCGCAGGATGCGCCGCCGCGGATGGTTTGTCATGATGGTCGGCCGACGGAATAAATGACTGCGCCCGACGTACGAAAGTAAATTATAAAATATGCGCTGTAAGCGCGTCGCTCGTGATTGCACCCCGTGATTAATGGACGCGACGTAATTGCGCCCGCGCCGGGTATAGCAAATAATTCAAGTGCCGAAAGTTCTCCGACTATTAAACGCTTCGCCGTGAGAACTACTATTTGCTATATAGCGGCGTCAACACGTCAACGTGCTATGATAATTATAATAAATAATTCGAGACGCGAATTTCGATCGCGCCGAAATAGTCGCCACGCGGAGGCATTTATAAATCGCGGCGTTACAAGAGTTCTTCAGAAATCATCATTTCGTATCATCGAGAATAATTCGCGTTTAGCAATGCTATGCGTATACGAGCGTGGATCACGCGCGGCGGAGAAGCGAACTTTCTCTCTTTCAGAAGTCCGTGGACCGTGCCATCGCGCGATGCGATCGCAACGCATACAACGCATTAAAGTGCGTACGGTCGTCGAGGAGAGGAGAGTGAGACGCCCGTACATCGTCCGAACTCGCGCGCAAACCGTCGTCGGCCGGGGGGCAAACGGATCGCTTTTGCCGAGAGAAACAAGCGTTCGCATTTACACGGGTCGTATCGATTACATTAATTAAATAAAGACCGGGCTGGTATCAGCGCCACGTTTCGGCCCCGGGCACATATATCGGACTGGAGCGTTTATTGCGGCAGAGGCGATTCGCGCGCGGTTCTCGCCATAAGTCTGCAGCGGTCGCTATCGATACTCCGATCACGTATGTATACCCATCCACTTTAGCCCTCCCCCTCCCGCCCATCTGAATACTTTGGTTCTGAGTACTATTGCCCCGCGCTCTCGATTTGCTGCACACTCGTCGGCCCGAGCGTGTATAATGCACGCTTCGTGGAGAACGCGCGTCGTTTTCAGCGCATCTCGCTCCACGACTCCTTTCAGATATGAAATCGTCGTCGTCATCGTCCAGTGCGCCGTGGACAATGTTTACGAGTCCGCAGACGATCGACCTCCTTCGATTAAGACTGTCGCGCGATTTCGCCGCGTAATTAACACGTCGATGCGAGGCGTAAGCGAGCCGCCTGATCTCGTTCGATCTTCACGAAGGCGCAAACCGCTCTCGTGCCTCGTGTACACGGTCGCAACGTGTGAATAACAAACGTGCGTGGTCCATCGCATCCCGATGGATCGATTTCATAACGCCCCACGGGGCTCTTCGTATACGACGCGAAGAGTACCCACTTTCGAAAATGGCGGGCCGATATCGGCACTTGTGAGAAAACAGCTATTTACTTTATACGGATACACGTACCTTGATTATCGATAGTCTCGACCACGGACCAAGCTGCGATGAAGAAGCGCGGGGGAGGAGGAGTCCGGGGAGGTGAATACATGCACGCGTACAAGACGTCCCAGATCGGCCGGATGTAGCCTTTCAATCATAGACACTGGAGAACAAACAAAAAGGACGACGGTTGTTTTAATAGCGAGGCATTGATAGTTACGGAACTATTCAACGTCGACAAATGTAGGCTGCGGGCGAATTATGCCTCACCAGAGTGCAAATAAATAACAATCCCTCATTTTACTTTTAATTGAACCTCAATCAAATTCATTCAGGACTTAACTTTCCAATATATGTATAGCGTTAGCAATAGAAAAGATGTTGGACAAAGAAAAATGGTTACCACGTTTTTATTATAGGTGAAATCGACGTCAAATTTGTCAATAAAGCTTTTAGCTAAAAAAAGATTCGATTCTGGGATACATTGTATGCCGCGTGAAACAGTGAAAGAAAGCACGAGAGAGAAGAGAAGAGGTATATATAGACGGGAGAAGAAGATTGGCGGTTTGAAATAGACATCGTGCTGCCTCGCAGGTTGATATAAGCACTCGGCGTTTCCGCAGGATACGATTCGCAGCATGTGAATAACCGTTATACGGCACTACTCGCCGCCACGAGTATCGGCCAACGTTCAATTATTCGAACATCCCAGCGGTGAAATAATGGTACCCCACGGGTGTGCGTCTACGCGCGGAGTCCGTGCACCGATTCTTCGTCATTCCCACATAGCGATGTCTAATTATCTGTTACTGGGGGTCTGCGATCGAACTCGTAAGGATCCCGGAGATGTAGCCGTACATCGTGGGTTAAACGGATGCAAAAGAAGTCGCGAGACCATCTCGATCGCGCGAGTAACAAGAACGCACCGGCGAGAATGTAGTCAGAAGAAAAATGTGAAAGTGTATTACTTCGCCGGTGAATTACACTTCGAATTTAATGTCAGTGGCACACGAGTCGCGTTCTTATTATCGCGAATCCAGTTTATCAGCGATACTGATTTGCGTTTTTGAATATGCATGAATCCATATTATGTATAATACGTTGTGTAAAATATATAGGATGCTCTCCAACTACCATTTAATAGCGTATTCTAGAAATTGATTAAGATCGAAAATCCTGATATGGAAATGCCGAAGCAATAGTTTTCCCATTATAATCGATCGATGCTAGCGAAAGATATTGCATAGATTTCATGAACTTAATATCTGTACCGATATCACTTGTTATTGATTTTCACCATTCAGATAATATTACTCTACATTACTACTCAATTAATTTTCTTTTGATTTCTTATGTACATGTACGATATTACAGCAATCAGTTGATATTGTTGTAACAAGTTGATTAATAATAGAAAATATTAAATGTACAAGCTGCTCCGCTTTTACCGGATATCATTTTGATTGGATATTTAATCTTAACTTTATTTTTCTAGATTGATTTCTGTATTTAAATTTCTATATTTTGTAATTTTATACCATTTATTTCATTATTTTTTGTATAATTTATACTAAAGTATAATTTCTTTTTACTTTTTCCATGTATTACTTTTAATAAAAACAAATTATAAAACATAGTTTTAAAATATCAATTACTTAATTAATAAAAGTTTTAAATTAATTCTTAATATTTAAAATAATACAATAAAATACATTATAAAATACAGTAATTGTTATTTGAACATTTAAAAAATATCAATGTGGAGATAAGAATAAAAATATCTATAACAGAATTTATTTTATATACGATTTATAACTGTTACCGACGTTGAAAATAAATAATAATGTAATTATACGATATTTATTTTTACTTATTGACTTATAAGAACACATAAAAAAAACATTCGAGTTTTTTTAAAGCTTTAAAAAAACTCGATAACTGCGACGAAAAATAAAATTAAATAAATTTATCAATTTTGTTTTTTAAAGAAAGAATAAATAATAATACATTCTGCGAGATTATTCAGGAAAAATACATTAAAAATAAATACAGCCTCGCTGTAAACCAATAATCAAATAAAAATAAATCGCGGTTGACAATTCACGGATGCGAGTAAATCCAACGGTAATATTTCAAACTTGATTGCAATACACGTAACTTCGATAATATATCTCCAATGTAACGAGTCCCCCACAATTATTATTGCTTTACGCGACGGTGAATGTAATTTGAAGGACACGAAGCGGTTTTTTCCATCGCATTTATATACGATTTCAATATCATCAAACAATTGATCGATTGCATGTAAAATGTAACCTTTTTAAAATAAAACCTTTTATTTTCTAAAGCATTATGAACGCTAAAAATTCGAGAAATTGCGAGAAACCGTATTATCCGTTGTTGAAGGATAAACTGGCCCAACGATTTAGTCCAATCAAAGCCCGTCCGCCTAGTGAAATACCGATTAATATCCAACAGGAAAAAGAACTATTTTTAAGATAGGGAGCGAGTTCAATGTACTTTGTTTCTGTCGGTCTCTTTGGAATCAATCCGCAAAAGAAGGTAAGCGACCCGTCGAACACCAGGGGTCCAGTTGCTAAAGAGAATTCCGGACCATCCAGACTGTTCCCGATAACAGTGATTTCAATAACGAATCAACGACAGTTACCGTTTTTTAAATCTTGATGTAATGCAAATATCATGCAAATCCGGAGTATATGCGCGATAAGTAAATTGATATTCAATACCATGTTATCAATATATGAGAGAAAAATTCCACGCAAAAAAATAATCCTCCCATTATTAAGAAATTTATTTTTGCTTATTGAAAAACAACACATGGATAGAATGGACTTCACAGAAAGATGGTTACTAAATATAAATATATTTAAAAATAATGAAATACATGCGCATTTATCGTATTATAGTATATTTTATATACCGATTTTCATCATTCAAGACAAATTGAATACGATACCGGTGGAATTAAAAAAAAATACTATATTTAGCAATATAAAAGTTATTAATTTATAATTTAATTCTGTAATATTTAAAGAAATTTTTGAATAAAGTTAAATAATGCATCTAACATTTAAATTCAATATTCCACTGATGTAAAGATACCCATTTGAATACATAAATTTTTATTTAATTCATATAATATAGAAAAGTTAGTTATAAAAACGTACTTCTTCGTACTCACACTAGCTCAAAATTTATTAAATAAGATGTTACAAATCGGCGCATATATTTTGCTATAAAATATCTATAAATAATAAACTTTTTGCCTACCTTTTAAATCTACTATTAATCTTGATGTCCCCAAATAGACATCGTGCTGCCTCGCAGGTTAAGATAAGCACTCGGCATTTTCGCAGGATACGATTCGCAGCATGTGAATTAACCGTTACCTAGAAAAAGAGAACCAAAAGAAAATATATAATCATTCATAACCACATTAATTGTCAAATTAATTATATGACTTGTAAATTTATTTATTACAATATTTAATTAGAACTAAAAATTCTCTATAAGCAATCTCTATATCGACGTATATTTATATCTTTTTTATTATTAAGACTAGAATTAATATATTAGTATATTAATACTGATGGAAGAACGTGAAAAAGAAAATCTTATCTTACAATATATGTACTGTTTAATTAATTCGATGTTTTAACTATAAAAAATATACACCGGTCATCGGTAACTCATTGCTGCTTCCGGAAACTGTCAAGAAAATTTGGGTTTAATGCCGAGCCAACAGTAGGAATTCTCAGATTTCAACGGGCACCGAACTAGACATCGCAGATGGGTCCCATAAAAAGCGAGAAATAGCTCTCTATAATGAAGATCGTTTTGACTTCCCGCCGCGCCAGTACGAACCATGCATTTGCTAGCGTCCATCTGACAAGGGACAGCAATATAGCAATACTGTCGACACAGCAATCACGCTCAAAAACGTGAAAAGAATATGATGTCTACAATGGCTTCTAACAAATATAATTTAATGCAAAATGTATAATTTAAGATTCCGTTAGCGAATATCGATGTACTACGTGAAATATTCGAGAATATATTTTATAAAACGAGATAGATAATTTTGTCGTCTAAATCATGAGAATAATTGTAGCAATAATAAATACACACACACACACACACAAATTTCGAATTGCATAATAATTTTATAAACTATTTTTTTAAATGTCAGAAAAATGGACAAATTTAACGAGCGGTAAGCTAATCTTTGATGTTTGTAGCATCGAACTTTTACAGTTCTATTTAAATTTGGATAAAAAATTTTCTGAAATTATTATATAATAATTCTTTGGTATTTAAAATATAAATTACATATATACTACTAGATCTTTGAAAATTTTTAAAGCAGATATTTTAAACGCGTAAGTTTAATAAACTTTATATTATGATACGCAGTATCTGTTACATAAAAATAATGTTACATAATTTTAACATATTTTATAACTAATTATATAATTTAAAATTATAATTAAATTATATATTTTAATTTAAAATGTGTTATTATCATATTTTTAATATGTAATTTTAGCATTTTTAAAAATAAATTTGAGTTATATTTTTATAATTATTTAACATTAATATGAGTAATGATTCTTACTATCCTGAATTTCTTCTTATACATTTTTCTACAACTGAATTTTTCTACAACCGAATTCTGATAAACTATTCCTATCTATTTAATTTATAATAACATCCCTATCTATTCGAATTGCGATAGTATATGCCCTGTCTACCTGTATTCGCATTTAATGCATCAATCTGCAGTCCTTACCTTAAGGATTCTGCAGTCGTACTCCACGACTACGAGTATCATCGATCAATGGCGAGCCAGCTAATCCAGTATCATCACTAATCGACAATCAAGATATAGGGAAAGTTAGCGATTTGAGATTTTAAATAATATTTTAATTCACGATCAATAGGAATTTTAAATAATATTTTTATTCGCGAAAAAATTGATATTTTAAATGACATTTTAATCCGTGAGCGATTGGGATTTTAATTTACAAGCAAGCAGGATTTATTTCGATGGCAAATTTCCATTCTTGACTACATGTGAGCAAACACGTATACAAAAAAAAATATTATAACTCTCTTATCTTGTATACCTTTAATCATATTACTTACTTGTACACCAGCCTATCTTATGTAGCCCCCTCTTCATTCTTCCGGCCAGATTGATCTTATCTTTCGTTGCTTCTAGCTACATCTATTCTGACCTGAAATCAATAGATAGGAGAAATACTACTTCTATTTCCGGCAAATAAACATAAAGATGTTAAGATCGTTTATATGCAAAACACGTCGCAGAAAGACTCTATTAAAATATTAATTAAATACAAATTTGTGATAAAATTCACTAGAATATTAATTGAGTTTATGTTCTTTTATAGCATATTTTCGAAACAAAGAATTTGATTGTGAAAGGATTATCTTTAGTTTAGAAAAAAATCAATGTCCTCTAATTAAGAAAAATTCAATTACATTCTGTGAATGTAAAAAATTGTATTTCACAGTAGAAACACGGAATTTCAATAACATTCAAAACTTATAAGTAAAAAAATAACGAATATAAAAATTGCTAAATGCAAACAAAATTTAAATGATTTTTGATTCGTAAATATGTTGTTACAAATATTAAATTTCACCTCTAAGAGATATATCAGATTAGAAATTTAAATTGAATGACGTGAGATCTAAAAAATGACGTAATCTCAATAGCATAATTAATATTGCTATTAAAATAAATTTTTAATGTTCTCTCGTGATTTTGCACATCTCTCTTATTTTTATAAATTTACATATAATTTCTATATATAATTTCACTCTAAATTATTTATAATACTATCAAAATTATTTTTAATAATACATATATATATAAAAGTATATAATATTTCTTCAAACCTCATACAATTTTTAATTTAAAGGCATGAACTGATCCACTTTAATTTATATTTTTTTCTGTTACTTCTTCTATTATGTGATGAAACATTTATGGGATTTTACGTCAAATTACTTTAACTAATACAAAATCCAGTTATTAACCATTACACATATAAGATAAACTCTATAAAACTTTAGGCTAAAAAATTTATGCAATATAAACTTATTAAAAAACTTATACAATATAAAAACAAGTCATAATTAATATAATTATAAGTGTATTTTATTAGGTAAATTATTTGGAATGTTATTTGTATCACTGAAATATTCTAAATATTTATTTTTTTTATTTGTGAATGTAATACATACATATTAAAAAAAAACCTCTAAATATAATAATTATTTTTTTGTGTACCAATTTATACAATATTTAATTCTGAAAGAATTAAAAAAAAAGATAGAATAAAAAATAACAATTCAATATTTATACTGTTGTAAATATTAATTCTTTCTTTATATTATATATAAACATCACTCATACACAATATTATATTTACTTTTTAAATTTGTTTATTTAATTAATTAATTAATTTCAAATAATATTCTTTATTTGTTTATTTAAAATATTTTTATTTTCTTTATATTTCACATAAATAAATAAAACATAAATATTTCGTCTAATTTTTATTTTTATGCTCGAGATGTGAATAATATGGGGAAACTTACATAAAAATCTTTAATTAAAAAAATATCAATATTTTGTTCTATTACCATCGGTTTGTTATAGTGTCTTTTACTTTTTTATAGTAGCTTTTCCTTTTTCTCATTTTAAAATATTTTAAATAATAAACTCGACACTTTATCATTTTTTATAATATACACTTGATTAATATACACTTAATTATTCCCAAATTACATTATTAATTTATCAAGTTATGTCATCTGTGATAATGTTATCAATTGCTTTTTTTCGAAGATTCTACTGTATATATATGTGTGTAAACGACTTCATCCTCGTATGCATAATCAATAAATCATATAGTAAATCATACAAAATGTATATCAATCAATAAATGCTATGTTCAGGATTAAACATTCATTCTAATCTGTTCTAGCATATCCTATATCATATTTGAAAGCATGGATGTCATACATTTTTATATTAGATTGATGTATATACGGATTTAAATGCATATGTATAACTGATATAATTGTCACAGATTTGTTATCTCGATATAAAACTTTATTCACCACTCACCGACCGATGTGTAACAGCGGAATTAACTGGCTATGTCGACTACGTTGATTCTGTAACACATATAAATATAAGATCTAAATTATATCCAATATCCAAAATAATTCAAGAAATTAAAAAAAATAATTATTCTATATATTGAATTCTATGTTTATTCGTCCTTTATACAAATATTTAATATAATTTTCAAAAAAACAATCGTATAAAAATTTATATATATATTTTTAAATAATTAAAAAAAAACTTTTTCTCTAATTCTATTAATTCTGGAATCCAACTAAAAAGAAATGGATGATTAATTTCATGTAAAAAGCAACGAATAAATAATCAATTATTGGAAGGTAGCTCCGCTGGCGCCTGATACTTTTCCTAAGCCTGCTCCTCCTCCTCTCAGGATATTTAGGTTGTCGATCCTCTTTTTCAAATTGCATTCATTCGCGAAAAACAATCGCGCTTAACTACAATCGCGCGCGGACAAATTACCAATAAAAGTCGATTAGTCCGATTACTTCGGCACTTCCGAAATTAACACGCGACGCGACGAATCGGCTATAGTTTGTTTACTCGATTAAATAAGCGACAATTCCATTAATTGAATCGCTCGATTCAACGATTCGTATGTATATCGCACTGCACTCTCGATTTAAAAATAGTAGGCAAATTACAAAAAAAATTCAAAGCGTCGTGCAAGAAATATTCAATTCTAAGCACTGTTGAAGAAATAACTGTCTGCTTGTAGAAAATAATTTTCTCTACAAGAAATTAAACTTTCTGAATCGCTTCGATCTTCTTATATTTGATAAATTATATAAAGTCGTGTGCAAAAATTTATCTTCTCCGTTAAATATTCGTCATATCGTGAAGTTTATATAAACCGTTAGTCATGCGTGCCATTAATCGTAATATAATATCTATTACTATAGAACCTACTCGATATTATTTGTCCCGATCGCACTTTGAAGAGTAATATGACACAGTGATATGCGTGCTGTAACATGTTTACTTGAATGCAGCCCGAAAGATATAGGGTGTTGTATGTAACGGTTACGTTGCAAAAGATAAATACATACTAAAGCCATACTGCACAGAGCTAATGTTAGCTCGAAACATTTGACTGCTTTATGAAATAAAATTATTATTTCGAGTATTCAGAGCTGCTTGATTTTCAATTTAATTTCAATATATCGCTCTTCAGATATAATAATAATTAAAGCAGAATTTGTCGTGCGCATATTTTAACTTGCTATTGGAAAAAGTATTTTATGCAGATAAGCCTATTATTTCTACCTAAAATTATTTCTATTGAAAACTTTGTATCCTGAAGAATAAAACTACGCAACTTTAGTAAATAAATAAGTAAAGATTTCTCCTTCAGTCTAATGGTGCGCGTTAATTTCGAGAAACTTTATTCAGTGCGAATCTAAACAACATATAAATCGCGCAATTCCGCGTGGAAACTAGATGAAATATTATAAATAAACGTGATCAATGTAGCACGCACTTAAGTTATTTAATCATCCGACATGATTCGTTTATCATTACACATTACATTCTTAATTTATAAATATTTAAATCAATGAGAAACGCAAAGCGCAATATATGTGCTTGAATTTACATAGAATTACATTGATAATTTAGATCGTTTAAATCAGTAAAAAAATGCAATATTTTCATCAAAGTGTCGTAAAAAATGTAATAATATCTCGTGATATCACACTAAGACAGTTTGAGATTCTTATTTCCAATCATTTCGCTCTTACTTCGAAAGAGTCAATAAGCGAAGTATGTTTGAGTAAATAGCCGGCGCCTCGAAGCGTTAACTTCGCGGAATAGTAACCGGTTATTGTCTGAAACAATAGTAAAATATGATAGCGCCCGATATCTTTTCGTATTCGTTTCAATCACATCTCGAGTAGTAATAACACGTTGATACGCAGAGAGAGCGGCTTGTATCGTGACTTGCTCGCTCGAATGTCGGCGCGCGAATGATAGAGCGGTAACCTTGTGCACGCAACAGCGCGCCGTACGCCACACCACGGACACCAAGGCCGCGTGCCAAACCGACTTGTTGCCATAAACGACAACTGAAATGTTTAACATTTCCAAAAATAAAATTCATGCCGAATGTTCTGCTCTTTGCGTAATAATCGCTCTTTCGTAATAATTTCGATAAATCGACCGAGTATCGTGCGTAAAATTTATTGCTTATAAAGATTAAAACTTGCCTTCGTAAAGAATAAAATTTATCTTCGTTTGCGGTCGTAAAATTACTTTATATCTTTTGTAGATATCCTCAGAAAACTTGGACTGTTTATTTACTCAAGAATTATCGCGATTTCGTAATGGAACTTTGACTTCGATTTATCTGTAGCTGTTACAATTTCGGTGGTATGTTATACAAAATTCTAAACATTTCTGACAAACGAGATTAATGAGATTCGAGTACAATCGCATAACGTATAGCATTTGTCCACACAAACGCGACGCATTTATTACTATAGAAATATTTAAGAAACGGTCTTGACATGCAATCAACCACTATATGTATAACACGGTGTCAATCATACATAAATTCATGCATATTCCGGTACACGCCTACCTGTCAACTGTTCGCGCGAGTCTCGATTATGCGTCCATCTGGAGCATTGTTGAAGAATAGGTACTTGTATAATGTTATCGAGAACACGCAAGTATGCTCCCAACGCGCACCCGGGGATTTTGGGATACGCTAGATATTCTAATGAAGCGAATATCGATCGCACGGCATTATTATAGTTCTACACATAATTATAGTTATACAGAGAGCTATATATCGAGCAATTCGTAACGAGTAATACGAGTAATATATCGTACGCAACTGACGGGTTCTGGAACCGTAAGAAGTTTCGTTGGAAACAATAAGAACGCTTTTCGACACTTTTATTACGGGCGGCGGTTCCAGTCGCCCGTGAAAAATGAAGGCGTCAACGCGGTGGAGTGCAGTACGGGCGCGGAGAAAAATATTTCAAAATGTCGACGTCGGTATCAAAGAGCGTTTAAGACTGCTTAATTCTCCTCACTCCGGCGCGGCGGCGACAGTAACGGCAGCTGCTGCGGCAGATACGCCGCGGCAGAAAACGCTGACAACCCTTTACTAATGTTCGCAATTCCTTATTCCGCGGGGATCATTTATAAAACGCCACGAGCTGCTTGTCCACCGAGATCCCGGGATAATTTGTTTGGAATTTGGTTCTGGAGATTACAGAAAGTGTAACGCCGTGATTAATACCGCGGGACGAGATTCGAGAGGTGAATCGGGACTGGATTATGAAGGGTTCCTCTCGCGGCGGGCATCGATTATGCACGCTTGATTTGTCTGTCGCTTTCTCCTCTCCCCTGCTCCTCTTTAGCCCCGTAATTCGGCCCCGTTGTCAAGCTGAGGACTACATTACGCTCCACGAGGAAGTCGGATTTTATTTAAAAAATTACTTGTATCCCCCCCCCCTGCCACCCCTCTCTCGACGCGTTATGCAATGTTCGAAAAAAATAGGTATAGTCGATAAAACGATTTCCTGGCAAAGAGAGTACAAGAAAATAATACGACGGGGGCCTCTCATACGTTCGGAACAGTGGAATTTCTCTTGCGTCAGAAAATTACTGTAATTTTAATACAGATGATATACCATTTCATCGATATCCGTTTAGAAGATCGTTCGGCTTGCGATCTGTTCGTGGGCTCTCCTACGCAGCGTATACTTTATGGCCCGGAAAATTGAAATTTTACTCCGGTATAACATTACGGAAATGTGGTGCTACATTTGAAAATTGTTACGCTATTCACTGGACCATTAAACGTACAGTACGAGGTAAGTCAATTAAGGGAATTTCCAATCCAACTTATTTTCAATCCGCTGAAAATTCGCACACATCCGCGACCGTAAAAAAAAGCCAATATTTTCGCTTCCGCGAAAAGCTTGAATAATTTCGTCGAAAAAATCTCGACAAAAATGATATTCTCTCACGTCGCTAAAAAGTTCAAGAATCCTTAGAACCGGTTATTGAAATATCTATATCTTTCTTTTTATTAAACTCTTAAGGCATGTGCGCATACAAATACATATATACGCGTGGAGAAAGAGAGAGAGAGAGAGGCAGAGACGTGTAGGTTTTGTGAATCTTGCAATGTGCAGTAGGTGGGTGGACGAGTCAGGCACTTAAAAAGCCCAGTCCCGATCGCCTCTCGCGAGTAAGCGCGTCTGAATAGCCTTTTCTACCTTCCCAAGAATTTAAAGATGCAAAACCGCTTCTGTGCAAGGATACTCGTGCACTTACTGCGAGCCGCGATACTTCGTAACAAATAAAGTGCACGGTCCCGGTAACACAACGGCAGATTGTAAGCAGACACCTAATTCAGAATTAGCTTTGCGCCTCCGGGTTTCTTTTGTAATCCGACTCCCCGGTAGGCTCTTTGAAGCGCTTTTGCACCGCGTATGTCGCCTCGTATATCCCCGACGGAAAGGTAAATTTCCTATCCGGATAATCCGTTGAAAAATCAACAGAACACGATTCTTCAAGCGGGTTCAATTTACAATACTAAATCAATATGTATATTATCAAAGCACTTGTAGAAATATTGAGTGTTCATTTCATCATCTATTTTAATCGAGCAAATTCATGCGAATTTTACATTTTCCAATCGCGTAGCATAAGTTAGGTCTTCGATCGTCGGCGCTTCGGATGACTGAAGAATATGAAATGTCCTAAGTATCATGGTCTTATTGTGCGGCAAATGTGAACAGAACACCGCCGCAAGAGCGATGCGAAAGAGAGCGAGAGACCGGACGGAGAGCAAGGCCGCCCCGCGGGCCGCTATTCCGGCGAGTATTGAAATATTTCCGACGGAATTCCCATAAAGCGCGGTTGGGATACGAATGAATGAACGGTCTCTGCACCCTCCGCTACCGCTACCGCCGCCGCCGCCGCCGCCACCGCCATCATCGTCGCTGGGGATTCATAATTCTTTCCGGAAAACTTTTTACTGTCATTTTCCACCTGCCGACCGCCATTCTCACTTGAAATAAAGGCCGTCGCGGCGTGCGCGGGCCATTGTTCACCACTGTCGAAACGCTTATCGATCCGTCGATGTAGACCGGCGGGGCATCATCGATAGCTCAACCTTTGCTACTTGCATCCACCTCCCCCCTGTGTATCGGCGGCGGCGTGTGTCAAGTGTGTATCCGCGTGCGGAAATCTGCGGCACACGACGTTCCGTGTTTACGTTAGTGCACCGAGCGACGGTTTGCGCGAAGCAATTTGTCAGCGTGATGACAAGAGGAGAGAGAAAGAGGCTCCGCTGCCTGTGCGAGCGTCTGGTCCGAGGCGCTCGCGGCGCAAAGTTAGGCACGGTGTCACGAAGCTGCAACTTTTCCGTGGACTTGACGTTCCACGGACGTTCTTTTTCCGTCGCGCTGGAAGAAGGTCGCGTCCCAGTTTCCGCCGAGAGTAACGAGCGCGCTCGGAAAAAGACTCTCGTTAATTTATTCAAAACGTAATCGAGTTTCCGGGGAAACGAAGTTCGGTGACTTGTTACACGGGAATAGCTGCCCCCTCCCGAACGAAGTTTCGAGCGACTCCGAGGAGATTCGTTCTGGGAGTTTTTACATTTCTCAGAAGGCTGCTTGATATTACGGGGAGCGCGCCCTCGTTGCCGGAAATAAATCGTAAAACGTAAACAGGATTGCCGGCCGCGGCGCGTCGAATCGTATTTTGCGCGTTTAACGCTATATAAACCGCTGTCGCGTCGTCCGCGCACCGCGGATCGGTCATAAAAGTGTACATGCGGAAATTACGGAACTGTTACGCGTGTTTCGAAAAAAGATTTTCGCGGGCAATCATCCCCTAAATCTCTACAAATGGTCTCTACACACAAATCGGGAACGGCCAGCTGCGACCGTTGCCAATTTACTCGATGATATCCTCGCAGACAGGTCGTGAGCCTTCGGATTTTTATCGGATTCCGCGGTCCCGTCCGATGATTGCTGTTTTAATCAATGCGCCATGCGGCATCTGTCAGCGAAACAACTGGTGCGCGTGCCGCGTGTCGCGCGTACCGCGCCGCGCTGCGCCGCGCCCCGGTGTATGAACGAGCGTACGCGGTATGATCCTCGATTACGATAATCGCGTCGATTGTTTACAGGCCAAACCCATCGAATGGCAGAAATTTAATTCGAAAATCGGAAAATCCGCAAATTGCACGTGAGCAAAAAATACGCGCGATTGATTAAACGAGCGAAACATCCGGCGCCGTAAAATGAACGATAATGTAATCAGCGCGCGAGAATCAAACGCGAAAAATACGAACGGATTCTGCCGAATGCGCGTCGTGTTTTGCCAAGATTGGAAATTCCAGGCGTAAAATGACTGATGCTCCAATTATCGATTTGTGACGGTGGAGCGGGCACCGAGGACCGCTTTCGCTCGACTTTCGCGGACTGTTTTCGCGCGGAGAGGAGTCGCATTAGTTGTTAACCACTCGTCAGCCGCGGTGCACTTAAGTCCCGATCATTTTCCCCATCTTCCATCGCGACACCTTCTCCCGACGTTAAACGCAAATTTTCCTCGTTAAATCGAAATTTCCTCGTTAATGTCGGCACCGCGAACGCAAGTATCGTGATTGCGTATGAATATCTACGCGATCTTTATAGCGAGAGCCCGTGAATGCCTCGGTACTACACGCAGGATGTTACTTCGTCCGATTTCACCGAGAATATTCCCGTATTCCGTCGGCAAGTAATACTCTCATCACGAGGAGTCCGCGATGTAATTTTCCCGTATGATTTATGGCGGCTATAATGACCGAACGAAGGTCACGATCCTTCGAGGAGATCTTCTGGAATCGATCGGAAGACCCGACGCACAAGCCGTATACCTGTTATACCTCTCGGATTAACGCAAAAACCGGGAAAGTCATATACTTCCCTTATTTCCTCTCGGGTCTAAATTATTTGCGATATTGCGCATCCCGTGCAAATTAGTTCGAAAGCGGTCTCGACGACTTTCATTCAAAGGCGAGTTAATCTTGATCGCGAATCCGCAGCCTCGGCAGCTTCCATTCTATCCACGGCACGTCGGACCATCGCATACGTTACGTCCGCGCTAGCGTACTCAACAAAAGGCCAATCTCATCTTTAAAGTCGTTGTAAATCATACGCGACGAGGTAACAATCCACCTCGCGTGCTCGTTAACGCGCGCGGTATATATGTATATATATATTCGCGGCCGAAGGAAACGTGCTCGCGCGCGTCGAGCGAAACGGGCCCCCGTCTAGGACAGCGTCTACCACGGCGCGCCGCTTAGCCTCACGGCGTCAGGTATCTCGCTACCGCTTACCTGTCCGGCCAGTTTTTGTCGGCCAGGCTCTCTTCGAGCTCTGCGTGAACGAACGGACTAGCGCCGCCGCCGCCCGTCGCCGCGTTACCGTTGCGCTAGAGCTCGGCGGAGATTGAATTCATCAAGGCGTCGTCGCGTCGGCGCCGATCGCGGGGAAACGACGGACGCGCATCGACGAGGTCGTTTGCATCGACCGATTGTATCTCGATCGAGGCTGATAACGGCCAATAACGAGTCGAAGCGAGGCAAGATCTTACGGGTTGGATACGATTGGGCTGATTATACCGGGCGGAGGCAGTGGACTGGCAAACGAGATAATGCGCGCCGCGTGCACGATTTCCGACTACGTACGTTGTTCCGTGGTGAACTGACTTTCACTTGTTGCTCTCGAAGCGGCGTCTCTCTTTCGAGGCTCGGAACCCTCCGGTCCTCGAGCATCGTTGTGATTGCGAACTTGCGTTCGCCGATTCGTGTATACTTTCCGATCGCGCGTTCCCCGCTTCGTCCGCGTGTATATGTATATAGGACGCATATATGCAGGCGAGCGAAACGCGTGCGTTTGCAAAATAAAATGTTTAACAATCTGACGAAGCGCATTCGGTGCCGCCGAGGGTGCTGTTCGGTTCGCAGTAACGGGGGAGAGGGTGACGTTTGCGGTCTAATCAGCACCGTTGCTGGGAACCGCGAAATTACGGACGCCGAAGGTGAAATACCGCGGAATGGGTAGCCGCGTAGGTATATATGCACGCGTTCGCGCGTGTGCGAGTGGTGCACGTTATACGTGCGCCCGTATATACACTAACCTCGACCAGGCTGGTAGTTAATGGATGCTTAGAGGTTGATAGCCTTGAGTCCAGTACGGGCCACGACTGGCGTCTGGCTCTACCACCGACTGATTCTTCGTCTCCGTCTTCCTTGCCCGGTCACTCTTCACCACTTGGAAGCGCCGCTCTTTCTGTGTTACTCTCGTTCATCCATCCATCTCCTCCTCCGTCATCTCCAACGAGCCTCCCTGGCGTACACCCGCGCGAGTCTTGATAGAAAAATTAGTGGCCTTCTATTAGGAGTCGAAAATAAATGGCGTAAAATTTACGTTTAATTTGGTAATGCTTGCGTAAATTCAACTGGCACTAATGAATGTCAATCATTTAAAACGAAATATATTTTCGCGTATATTTATCTAATTATACAGTTCAATTATAGAGTGGACAAAAATGTTTTAATAAATTAAGAAAAGATAAATATCAAAACAAAAGATAAATATATACTTTTATGAACTTGTTTTTATACCTATTAATATTACGTAATATTAGAGATAAGGTACCTTCACCGGTACGTCCAATTGCGTAAAATATAGATAATCAAAATTTATTAAGTAACCATATTCTTATATTAATAAAATTCTTTACACAATTTATTTATTCGCATTGAGATATTTCGATACATATATAATTTTTGTCCTCCTCTGTGACGCTGACCGATTCTTTTAGAAAGTCGGAATTCCAATATCATTTAAAGAAAGAGAGCTCATCTAGATTTCTCTCACGGAATCTTCTCTAGGTAGAGTATGCTATCGTGTTAGAGACATTTTAGCGAAAAGAATCTAATAACACAAAAAGAGCTAACAGGAGCACACGATGGTTTTTGGACCTAGCGTAACATTTGTAAACAGGTCCGAGAAGAAATAAGCGCATTACTGTCGTTTTCTTTTACGTCAATTCAAAGAAAGTTCAAAAGAAAAGATAAAGCTTAGGAAAAGGCGCAAGAATGTTAACAGATGAAAAGATATACATACATGAAAAACGAAAGTAGTTGTTCAAACGACTGCAGAAGCGCGAATATTTAGATTAATAATACCTTACAGTTAATTATTTAAAAATTACCACTTTGTAATGATATCCGATTATACTCTTTTATAAGGAGCTCGCATGAAAAGATATTATATAATGGACGTGATGAGAGAGGAGGATTTTTCGCAGTTTTACTTTTACTTTAAAGAAGATAAGTATTTTATCGTTATTTCTTGATAAAGACATCCATTCCTCTCTCATGCTGTAAAGTGTAACATCGTAAATCATTTAGGGGAGTGAATATTCTGAACTTGATGCGCAACTACATTAAAAAATTCTTAAACAAGTCTTCGCGTCGCGCGTCATATTTAGAAAAATGGAGTTACGAGAAATTCTCATTAAGGCAACGATAAGTTTTGCGACATTAATGATGAGACGTCTTATGCATGTAAAGCCATTTAGTCGCAGCACGTAGCGCCTTTCGAGTGGAGAGGAAGAGGAATAAAAGGAGGAGCTGCGCGAAGAACTTAAGGATATTAAGATAAAATCAATAGAGAGAAACTAAGTTTGGAGGGAAGTGTTCGCGCGGGCAGCTTGAGAAAACTTCGCTCTTAATTAAGGTAATGGTGTCCGAGCACACAAACGTAACTGACTGCGAAGGCAAGATGCTGGAGGAAAGGGGGGAACGTAAGGAACAGAGGGGGTGGCGCTGATAAGACAAGAACGGCGGAGGGGGGGCAGAAGGGGGAAAGAGAGGAGAGAGGACTAAGGGACCTTCTGTTCGTGTCCCTTTCTGCGAGTTCCTGGTACATGGCCGACTCCGTTAGCTTAGTCACTGGCAACTACCGGGGCAAACATAGGACAGGATCTGGCTGCGGTCGTGCGTTTGTACGGGGCTGTGTCGACGCAATTTAGAGTCGTCTAAAGTGCCACCTGCATCTTTGACACGGCGCGTAAATTTAAACGCTAACGCCGTCGACGTAAATGCCCCGTGTCTCTCATAAAATCCTTTTTTTCCGGAAACGCGATAGGTCGAGCGTAACAACACGCATCTCACGCCGCAAAGAGACCGTTACAATAACGTAAATTTTTGCGGGCGCAGGTACACAGCGTCGCGGGTATGATTTATTGCACGAGCGAAATTTATGAGTCAATTATAGAGGGTATTCTGAAAATTTATGCTCTATAAACGCGATTTCGCGGACGCGCGGGTAACACTCGTCCCGTCCAACGAGTCGAGTGTCTTGTTTAACATATATATATTCCGCGATCGTCGATAATCGTACTAAATTCCGAGGGAAGTAATCGGATATTCCAAATGGAATTTCGTGTCTTACGTCGCTCGCTCTGGCGCACAGCGAACGTTAGAAATATTAACGCTGTAAATTTTAACGCGGTTAAAATGTGTCGCGGTATAAGCGCCACGGGGAGTGAATTTTAAAAATATTTGCAGTGCTTCTAATGCATTACGCTTCGATCGATACGAACCACGGTGTATTAAAAACAGAACAAAGCGTACATACTTTTGTTGTATGCGTTTCATGCACGATTAACCACTTGTTATTCACGCCTGATTACCGAAAAACAGCACAATGCCTCCCTCTCACCGAGCAATTATTTATCGCTTTATGAAGCAATGGCGTTTGTTAAATGCAACGGCAATATTATCGCGATGATTTTAGTCCTCGGCGTAATCTGCATATAATGAGCTGTTCAAAGATGACGGCAGAACACTAGATAATATTTGCCCCGTACGTTCTTGCGTTATTCGAAAATATGAAACATGTAACCCATTATTTCGTTATTTGCACGTTATTATTAGCCGCACGTGATATGTATAAACGAGCATAAATATGTATACGCGCGTCAAAGGGTTGTTCGTAATTCGAGATTGTTTCTTAAGTGACATGTAGATATGTAAATGTGTGATCTTTCATAGGATTTTGGATTCGGTAAAAATACCTAGTTAAATTTATTTAAATATTTTAAATTCTTTATTCTTTATAAAGTCCTGCAGAGCATTGAGGATTGCAAATTGAAGTTTAGGATTCGACCAATTTAATTTTAATTTTAATCCTTTTCGTTCTGATTGGTCAAATTCTATCTTCAATTCGCAATTCTCAATTTTTAATACGTAGTCTAATACAGTTTTAAGAATTAATGAATGCGTATATGTATAAATATTTAAAATCGATCTGTCAAGTAGCGTGTATTTGACACCGTTTCAAAGTTGTTGTGGTTGACATTTCTAGGAAAATAGGACGACCTGAAATTCGAGCAAATTCTTCTTTTTGAAAGGTAAAGCGACTGTTTCCCCAAGAATATCGGTTCAACGGACTCGGATTTTATTTCGTTAACCGTTTTACCTAGCAAAAAGAATTTGATCACCGCTCGAATTTCAGTTCTTTCCATTTTTCTAGAAATGCCAGATATGCAACAACTTCAAAGCGCTGACAAATACAAACTCCTTGAAATATATTTAGCACGTTTTTATATAAAAACTGTATAAAACAAGTTGCAATAAATCTTTCACAATTTTTTTTCTTCGTTTGAAAGTGCATATTCATCCCTCTTATCGACGTGGCTCTCCGTGACATTGTTCGGGGCTTACCTCGGCGCACGCACGGATCCCGATATATTTATAAAGTGCGCAACAATTTGTACGCGAGCTCTCCATTAAAACCGCTTCCATCCACGTCGCGTTGAATATCGGCTGACAAAAACGCTCTCTCTCCATCGCCGCATCGACACGGACTAACCGGCCGAGTATCCACTCGGCGAGTTTATCGGGCGCTTCCCTATTATCACGTGACCGGCTCTTTCGGGGTTACTACACGGTGCCCTCCGACGCATTTTCGATTTCGTGTCGAGTTCCAGCAAAATGCAAACGCCCCCTCCCCCTCCGCGCGATTTATCCCACCCGCGAGCTGACCCCTTTTTTTTGCGACTGGCCGTCCGGTCGCGAGTGTCGACCGTTGATTGCGGATGGCAAAACGCCGTAACACAACGTGGGGCCAGCCGGCCGGCCGGCGTGAAGAAAGCGAGAGAGCGAGAGAGAGAAAGAGAGAGAGAATGAGAGCGAGAGAAAACGAGAGAAGAAGCGCGCGGTGCCCGAACTTGCGTGTGTCGAGCGCAACGATGCATAACGTGGGGAGTTTTACGTACCTTGTGAGGGGTCGAGCGCGGGGAGGGGAGCGCTGACGCAGGGGCACGGTGCACGGCGGTAACGTGTTCGCACCGGTTGGAAAAGGGATCGGGTTGGTTCGACCGGCACAAGAGATCGTCCGTGGAGAGAAGGGATCGTCGCTGGCCGTGGAAGAGCGCATCGGGCGGTCGGCAGGTGAAGAACGGGGCAGAGGGACGGTAGAGGCCGTATAGAGGGGAAAACGACGCGGGGTACCCGGCAGAGGAATGGTGAACGACTACGGCGATCGAGGGGTAGAAGGGGCACGAAATGCGAGAGAGCGAGAGAGAACGTGCGAGCGAAAGAGAGGTGGGGGTGAGAGAGGAAGAAGCGGCCGGTTGGTAAAAGAGAGAGAGAGAGAGACAGCGCGATCTACTAGGCTCGCCTTTACCGACGTCCGCACTCCGCAGCGGCGCGCCAGTCTCGGTTTGCCGTTCCAACGTGACGGACGTAACGCTCGCGGCGGTCGCTCGCTTCCACGTGGGAGCAGAGCTCCGACAACTGGCTCCGGTCGCCCGATGTGATGGTCATTGTCGCGCGCGGAGTTTCGCGGAGTCGCACGTCGGAGGCGTTCGAGTGAATTTCGTGTATCGCGCCCGTAAAATCGGAGCACGGCGAGAGCAGTGGCCGATCTAACAACGCGGTGGCGTCGCGCGCGTCGCCGGCTACCGAAGGGATCGTCTCGCGCTCGCGGCTAACTTCACAGTGCAGTGACACACGGTTTCCCCGGCGGACGGTATACGCGACGCGCGTCGAGGGACGGAGTGGTGCTTGTCCACGCGGAATTTGGATTACCTGAAGCACGAGAGGCGGTGGTCGACTACTCTTCGGCGCAGCTGTGCCCTGCTGCGAGACGCGCGGATCACGGAGTCTCGGGCCGGTGGAA